ACGCCTATTACGCCAACTCCACGTCCAGCACATCATATCTGAACGGGCCGTCAGTAATGCCTCCGTCACTGCTTTACCCCCAGTTATATCAAAGTGCAGGACAACCATCCGCTCAGTTGTTGGCCACGAGAGTCAACACAAGTGTAGCCCAAACCACACCAAATGATACACATTCTGACAGCAATGATGACTGCATTATCACTACAGATACCGAACTTAACGACAGTAATAGAGATACGTTTTTTGGGAAAATATTTCAACACCAAAGCGAATAAAAATTAATGTTACCATATTTATATTTAAAAGCAATTATTATCTTATTAACCTAACTTCTATAATTACAATTTAATGGTTACATAATTATATTCATTTATACATTTACAAATTCTCTATATTAAATCATTTTACATATTTGGTTATTTTACAATTGTTTCTGATATCTGTATTTTAATATTTCATACTTCATATTTTGATCAAAGTAGTAGTATTTTCATTTTCAGTATTCTTTATATTATTTTTAATAAACTGATATTAATCGTGATATTACTGTTAGGTTATATGATAAATACGTAGCATCAGTATCACCCCGTGTTGATAGAATCATGGAATTGGTCTTATTATATAGGCTTACATTCTTAGGCACCAGAGTCTGAGTTTTATCAAAATTGTATAATTATTGTTGACACAGAAATTTTTAAAATTAAGTCAAGCAAAATAATGTACTCCTATGGGAGGGTACAGTTTTTGTATTTACCGAAGGTTGAAATCGTAGTTATCATGCTCAAACAATAATAGACATAATACAAAATGGTTACTCATTGTGGAAACTACATCATGAATGGAATATAACAATAGCCTATTCAATGGCCAACTCTGACCGGTACTCAAACTGTGTTCACGTAAATATCGGTAATCGCTCCGATTGGCCGCTCTGTTCGGTGTCTTTCCATTTGATTCCCATTATAAGTGATTTCATCATAACTTCACTAAACTATTGTCGGATAATTACTAATGAATCCCAATAACTAAACTTTAGTTACTAAAGAAACACTTCAATCATATCTATGGTAACAATATTTTCACTTTAAAAATAGGATTTCCGTCTAATTCTTTTATTCAGATTTTTAAAAACCAATTCCATCCAATATACTTTGAAAAATTCCTGTATCAAAAGTAATCACACAATTTTGATGAAAATCGGATTTTGGTGCCTAAGAATGTAAGCCTATATCATAAGACCGATTCCATTATTCTAGCTACATAGCAACTTGGCTAATATAATACAATATCATTAACATTAATATTTATCTTTGTCTTTCTTTACATTTTATTTTTATTTTCATTACTAAAACTTCCTTTAATTTCAATTCTCTCTCAAATATTTCTGATTTTAGATTAACTCAATTTGACAAAATAGTTTAAATAGTTACCAACGCCTTAAATAGTTAATACTTATACATTATGTATGTTGTTAACTATGGATGGGCAGAAAACACATGACTCAATGTAAACTTGCATAGAAATGCTGCCATAAAGCTGCCCTAGAGCTGCCCTGACCCATACATATTGTTAACACAATTATTGTTAAAATAAACTTTTGGTAAACTGACCCCCAAATTGGCCAATACATGATAGGTTCACATCTTGAGTCTGGGGGTAATATTATTAACCGCTAATAATAGTTGCTATAATTAAATGCAATTCCCTGATCATAATACATAATGTTACATTATTAATGTATGATAATTTATCATTGATATAACCGTAAATATATTATTTTTAATAAAGTTGTTGTTAACTAAAAAGAATCAAATTTCACTAACGCTAGCCATTAGTGTAATTCATTTATTATATTCTAGAATAAACAATACAATACACAATACAATACACAATAACAATAATAATAAATCCATAATTTCTGAATAAAATACAATAAATAATTAGTATTAATATAAATTGCGGTAATAATAATAATAAGACTTGTTTAAATGTTCAAATGTGCAAATTGTGACAAATGATGGAAATAATAGTAGAATTAGTGGTCATTTGCAACAATGGCTACAATGTATGTCCTCTAGCGGTCGTCGGCTCCGAACAGACCCTTAGCTCTACGAAGAATGGAATCCTTATTGGGATCGTAGGGATGGTCTTTGGAGGGGATCTCCAGAATGGAGGGCACGGGAGCCGTATGCGCGTTGTCCTCTAGCGGTCGTCGGCTCCGAACAGACCCTTAGCTCTACGAAGAATGGAATCCTTATTGGGATCGTAGGGATGGTCTTTGGAGGGGATCTCCAGAATGGAGGGCACGGGAGCCGTATGCGCGTCGATCGCGTGTCGGATCAGTTCCGCCACATTCTGGTTAATCAGGATTATGTCGATGTGTAGGGAGAACTCCTTGCGGGCTTTGCACAGGAGTTACAGACAACACCAGCATAAGAACAGGTGGTGATTCTTCAACACAACTCCTGAGAAGACCGCCAAGTAGAGAGGCTACGGAGGGTTGTCTTTTCCAACACAAGTGTCCTATATATCAAACAATCAACACAAACACCATTATAAACATTATAAACATTAACCACAATCCATATTAATATACCAATTGGTATATATAGCCCCATATATAGCCCATATATAGCCCACCCCTCCATACATACCTCATCGCCGATCACAGCAATGAGTTTGCCCTTCACTGCAGAATGTAATGCCATTCCTCTCCAAACTATCAATTATTATTCAATTACTTTAATTAATATATTAACACAATAAGTATTATTACAAATACTTTAACTGTGATCAATTAAATCACACTGTAATCTATCATAAGTAAAGTTACACCTATTACAGTACATGTAAATACTATATTGGTAATACCATTATGGCAAGATCACTGTTCATAAATTATAATTCATAACATATTTTTAATGCATAATTGTATGAATAGTATTGTATGATTAGTCAATCGTTATTGAAGTCGATATTATATATATTATATAAATATTTAGTATAACATATTATGTAATGTACAACTTGTATCACAATTCACTTAAATACAGGTATTTATAATGAATTAAATCAATACTACTGTTATATTACAGTTAATATTAGGATTATTAGTACATAATGTGTAGGGATAAGAAACTTATGGAGTGGGAACGGAATCATGGGAATATTCCCGGAGTTTATTGGAGTTTATCGGGAATTTATTATAGACTCCCTATGCATTCCCTGTATACGTTATTTTGTTTTTCTCATAAACTTAAAGAGATATTTAAACCAAATGTTTTTCAAACAATTGCCTCTATGTATGCGCGCATTTTAAGCCATCAAACATAGATGTCACACCTACTGATCAATTGGTACATTTATTCAAACATGATTCCCTATGAGTGCTACATGTATAAGAAATGCAAGATGGCCGGACAATGTTTTCAATGCATGTCATTGTATTGGAAAGAGAAGTCTGGCAGTAAATCACAAGATAAACGCCAGCGGTCGCGGACTCAGAGCACTATACCCACTAATCATACTGTTATGTGTATGTACTGTACGGCCACCGCCGGTGTTAAGCACTATTCCCAGTAATCATACTGTTATGTGTATGTACTGTACGGCCACCGCC